TTCGCCTTGCCACGAATACTCCAAAGCGGATCAAAGTTCGTCGCACTCATCGTGACATTACTATAACAAAAAAAAAACGGAAGAACATTTCCGTTCAGCCCAACGGTGTAATGTAAAATGTATGATAAATTAAAAAGACAACCTGAATTCCGAGAGAAGCACCTTTATGATTTCAGTAATTGTGAAATAAGAAATTTCACATCCATCATTTTGACGGGTTTGGTTGTTCTAGTGTGAAGAACGCGTGTCTTTGCAAACAGAGCGTGGGAGACAGATAATCACTGAAACTAATGTTTCGTTCTAATAAACACTTTGGAATCGTACGGGGAATACCAATATTTGCTTGCAATTGTAGGTACGCTGTTTTGCTACGGTCAATCATTACGGTACCGGGTAATCTTCATTTATCTCGTAGTTGAAAAATGATCGTGGAATTGGCAATCGTAATCAGCGCGAGTAAATCATCACCGATAATGGCATCTAACATTTTCTACGTAACACGGATGGAAGTAAAGGAAGTAAACATGTTTTTAATGTAGTAAAGCAATCTTCGGATCCCTCGTTTCCGCTGACTTTGATCGTTTGAGTCATTCTATGATTGCCGGGATTAAATTGCGAAAAGTAAATCTTGAGACACACGGAGAGGGACTCTTTGTTTGTGATTAGTATGTAGTTTCTATTATCATCTGAAGCTGGCTTAAACTTATGGTATTAATATTTTTTATGAAGTGTCGTTGAACATATGGTGGAACTCGTAAATGGCGAATTCACATAATTTCAGTTCCGTAAATTAATCTATAAAAATCTAGTCTAGCAGTCTACTGACAGATAATACAATTAAAAGTTAAACTCTGAGTTCGGGTCTGACTCGAACAGCGCACGAGGATTAAACTCTTCAAAGGTTACGTGTAGGTTATGTTATGTTACAAGATCCGACCAAAATCGGCGAACCCGCCTGAACAGAGAATAGAAAGAGAAATGACACTTTTAAGCCGGTATTAGCGGCGTGCATTGATTTTTATCTCTATTTCCGTCTCCAGATTAGTTCCGTGTGGCGCATGTGCAAGCTATCCGGTGCCACGCGACACGCGAATGCTCGGATTTCAGTCTCATTTTTACGAGCTTCTTTAAACCAATCCACTGAGAATTAGAGACGAGATTTCCCTGTGCTGTTTAGTCGCTTTGGCGAATACAAGCCGAAATTTTCACGTTAAATTTGAAACTTCTCGTGATTTGGTCGGGTGCCAAAGACTTGATACCCTTCCGATCCTCAGTCCGCTGATACATGAAAACCCGCCATTATCGATGTCGCTCGCGAATTCCGTATTATCGAAATCGATACTTCTTTAGTTCAAATCTTCATTCGAACCTAAGTCGCCAGTTCTTATTGTGAAGAATAAACATCGTTACCTGAGATTCTGTGGCTTTAATCCTATTTGTTTCTGCTGTATCGTTACTAGACTACAGATTTTAAGCGTTATAGCGTAGACGATCTTCTAGAATTCAGTAGAGTTTGATGAAGTTTAAGGAAGCTTTTAGTTTATCTGGAATTTGATTGAATAGTAAATAAAATAGACAGACTTCTCTTTGACTCCAGTTCTGGTAAATTAGATTATGAACGTTTTTATAAACATTCGCGATCTAATTATTATCAGTTAAGTTAATTTGATTCGTTAATTAATCATTAATTTGATCAGTGAATTTTGATACGTGATTTTGTGACGTTGCTACAATTTGGAGACGGCAAGACGAGATACATACGAAGACGCGTAGTACGTACGTGAATCCCCCGTTTACAAGTCAGTACAAAAACATACAAGTTATGTTTATCAGGTTGTCTGTTACACGACAGATATTGAATGGTACGATGAGTCAGGTTTTATCGAGATACCTGAGAAAAGTATAGACATCAATAAGCTTTTAATAATGTACATGATGGTGGTGGTAAGAGGCGTAGAAAGAGGAAGAAAGTTACACTTAAAAGTTGGAACGGAAGCATTAGTCATCATACTCCTATCGATATCTATGTCTATTTATAATTTAATTTCACAGAAATAACTAAGTAGAGTGCGTGATCTTGACATGATTGTGTCACAGTGTAGTATGTTTCATCGATGGTTTCGCATTAGCATATATTTTTGCGGTGTCTTTGTCTCTGAACCCGTTTCGAAAGAATCGTTAGATTTCAGAGTGTGTCGCAACTAGACTGCGGATTTTACGCATTTATCGCGTACAGGATTGTCTAAAACTCGGTACAGCTAAGTTTTTGAACAAAATCGAAGTTTATATTTTCTGTCAAACCTCAGAGCAACCTTAGTAAGACAAACAGATTTCTATGTAACTTCAATTTTTACAAATTACTCCATAAAAATCTATATTTGTGCAAATGTTTGTAATCCAATCATAATCGTGAAATATTTCAGGACACCATGTGGCCATTAGGTAAATCCAGTACATATACTGATTGGTTCAGGTAGCTTTGTAATGTGGCCGTAACGCGTACACGCCCAACAGGACAAGAATAGATGTTAATTAAATAGATCGCTCGATATACCTAACTTCACCTATTCTGTCTGGACACACGTCTGCTCGCGAGCCGGTTTAATTTCAGTGTGTATATTGTTTGGGAAAATATAGCCAGTCATCTAAAGGTATTGTATTCGCGATATAGAACGTGTAAACAGAACGGTAGATCCGATTGTTGAAAACCTTAAGTGGAGATTTGTCAGACATAAAATAGTTGTCAAGCGTTATCAAGTTTTGAATTTATTTTTATAATCATTTACTTACCATAGAGTATTATTATTTTATACATTTTATTGGAATAGAAGTGATACAGAAATTTATTATTATGGAAAATGCAATAGAGATCCAGATGCAAAAACTGGAATGTACTCATAGGAGATAAGGTTTTTCAATTAATTACTGAAAGTATAAAAGTGCAGTATAACATCTGAATATTTTGGAGATTATGAGATGTTTTTGTTCTTTGAATGATGTTGTCATATCATGAAGGATGGGGTCTTCTAAATCTTTAGGAGATTAGTAATTTAATTTACAGAATATGTCCAAAATAACAGTTGTCATTGAAGCTATTGTTCACACAGATTTTAATTGAAACATAATTTTTGTAAATGCTCCAAAAAATTAAAAGATCCCTAATTAATCGAAATTTTGAACAGAAGTCAGATAATTGATTATAGTTTCAGAAATTTCTTTCCAGGGATTCTACACTTATGTTTTTTATTATTTTATTCCGTTGACACGTTTAAGCCTTTAGCACTGTGAATCACAATTTCGCCTTACTATTAGTAATATTTCATTGTACGTGAAACATAAGAATAAGCTGTTCTTTTCTGTTTTCCTTATCTTTCAGTATACATTCACCAGAGCATGCTAATTCAATTCGTCAGAATTGAAAACGATACCAAACATCTTCGACACTTTAAAATAAATTAGTAAAACTATTAGTTCATATCGTGTAGTTAACGAAATAGATTTCATTTATAACAGAAATTAAAATCAAATTGTATCCAGGACAGGTTAGAAACTTTCTCCCCTCATTTAGTGCTATAAACATAGGTTCGTTCACAGTGATACCAAAAAAAGAACACATCTGTTCGACAGATATAACTGAAAATTCACGAAAAATCGAGTGTATTAATATCAGCTAGGACGTCACACATATCTCAAGTAAATCGGCTTTAGATTATCTCTTACTTAGAAATGGTGCTTGAAACGTTAACGCAGGATTTAACGGATCCGTTTCAAGCGGCGCATGATCAGGATTTTGAATTGGAAATGATAATTACATACGTCCAAAAACGGGGCGAATATGCAATCGTCTCGGGCTGCGTCGTGGGCAAACGTGTACACGATACGTACGGATAGACGCCTCGTCAATACGGTCATATCTCGATTGGGCTATTAAAAGAGATTGTTCCTAATTTCGAAAAGGTTCGCGTCGCTCGCGACCGGCCTTTACGACGCTACATTTCACCCGGTGTGACGACAACACAAGGCTCTCGAGAGCGAGCGTGTACCGTTCGAATTCCACGCAGCACGCGAACCGATTGGTCGGCGCTGGTGGCGCCTTCCAATCATGATGCTCTATACTCGTGATGTCACGGGCCGATATATAATACAGTCGCGCGCCATCCTCTGGCTCAGACCTCAGTTGGCTTTGAAATGAGCGGAACGAGGTAATCCTCAGTGAGTTCTCGCTGCTCGCACGCCCTTCGGGAGTGAGAGAAGCCGGGTGGTGGTTGTTTTTTTTTTCTTCGGCCGTAAAAGGCAGGGAAACACATTGCTCTGCTAAAATCGTCGCGAATCTTGTGTCGCGTTTTCAACACCAAGGATATCAAAAACTAGTCATCGAACGTGTCGCAAGTCAGTTGTGAGCGTACGAAAAATAAAAACCGTCGTGCGGGACAGGATACTAAATACACGAAGTGTCTGTCCGTTAATTGTAATAGCATAAAAAGGTGCGCTTAACAAGAGGGTATTTAAAGCGCCGATCAAGTTACTACACGGGTGCCTCGTTGTTGTTAACAGTAAGAGAAATCACAGAAGGACGTTCCAAGTCAGGAAGTAGTGGTTCTCGAGAGACAAGACACATGGTTCGAGCGTAACAAAAGGTATACGCAAAGCCACTATGGAATAAAGAAGTTAAGAGAGACAAAGAAACGAGTGACAGAAAGATAGATAGAGAGAGAGAGAGAAAACAAAGACTGGCAAAGAACACGTTGTCCGATGAATTCCTCTATTTAAGTCGCGTGGAAACAAACGTGTTCGTTTGACCTGTGATTTATCCCCCTATTTCGTTTTTTCTTTTCCTCGCGAAATCGTCAGAACTCTCGACTCGATCGAGGGTTAACACCGGCTGGCAAGCTGAACGCTTTCCCGCGAGTCGATAAAAAGCTCTCGAAGCTGTACCTGAAATACAAGAGCAAAATGGTCGGGAGCAACGGGACTATGATCGCGATCCGGCTTGTCCGCAGCAAATTGCGGAAACGGGAGGATCATTCAAACACGGTGCATCCGGAGCCGACAGTGGTTCAGACGGCAACATCGCCGATCTCTACCATCGTCGCACCGTCCTATTCCGTAGAGGGTTGTTGCACGCAGATGTCAACGACTACGACATCAACGGACCTGGGAAATAACACAGCTGGCGACCAGGATAATGTCTACGCCACGACCAATACGGCAGATCAATTCGTCTGGCAGTTTCCGCCTCCTTATCCACCACCTCACACACCGGCGCAGTATACGTTGTGCAACGGCCAGGTTGGTAGACCATTTTCTTGCTTTTTCTATTTCTTCTTTTTCCTCGGAGCTTGTAGCCTCGAAGGAAACGAGAACCACGCGTATCCCCTTTCTGTTCCTCCTTTACCAGCTGCGCCTAACCAGTAGAGCCAGTATTACCAGATTTCACTGGTTTATCCCCTTACCCTCGTCAGGATAAATCTCGAGGATCCTAACCAATATTGACATTTTATTCGAGGTGTAATTATCGTTTTATCAGTACCATATAAATTCGAGGATATAAAACATTGATCCCAATAGCGCGACCGCTTTGCATCATAATAGAATGGTTGTTAGGGCACTGAACCGTGTTTCGGGGGTATTCCTGTTGGCAAGTGGAAAGGAAGGTGGTTTTGTGATGTTTTTTGCGGGAAGGGTATGAACGTTAGTAAATTGAGACTTTAACGTAAGAGTGTAGATCACATGTGTTTACTACATTTTTTTATTTTGTTTAGTATATCACTGGTAACTTAAAAATATTCCATGTTTTTAGTTTATTCTAACATTAGAAATGAAAGAACATGATTTGTTGAAGTTGATAAACTTTTTACGTGATACCTGAATTAATTTCGGAGTTATCTCACCAATTTGTACAATATTGTTTTGAATATTTCGCGCTTGAAAGTTTTCTTTCCTGTGTATTCATAGAGGCGCCACTTGCTGAGCAATTGTTCTAATTTCATTGTTCTGTCAAATTTTGTAAGATTACGGCAACACATTTGACATAAAAGTGACATAAAAGTATCGATATTTTTACCCTCCAAATGGGAATGTCCTTTTTAGTTACGGTAGTAATATTGTGCTTGAAGTACTATTTCGGAGCAGATCGATTTTCACATGCTGCTTCATTTACCGAACTATGACATCACATTAATCTATTAAAATACATTCCTGCTAGTAAAAAGTTCCTGCCGGTAAAAATCAATACATCAATAATACAAACAGTTTTTACTCTATTCCCACTATTTTATAAATTTGTAGGAAACTAATTTGTTCATTCGCGAAATATTAATGAATATAGTCCGTCTTGTATTAATTGTTAAATGATACAGATCGAAGGTACTTATTTTGTTCTATTAAAACCAACAAAGTATGTATATTCTTAATAGAATGTTATTTAAACGTAACAGAATATATATTACTCCGTTTACGTATAGTGGCCATATTTCATTCTCTGCTGTCAAACTGGTAACTGTTTATGAATTATGATTAAAAAAAATATGAGTTAATTGATTTATTATCTTTCTAGTACACTTCCTTAAAAAATTATACATTAAAAGTGTAGAATAGACAAAAATGTTAAACATTAATATTATAGATTCCTTAATTATGAAAGCCAACATTAATTTCTTTAAATATATGGAATGAAAGTAATGTCCCATTGTTTACTATTGAAAATATTAATCAACTTCATATTGCGCAATTGACAGTAAAGATACAAGAATGTTAGGGAAACGTCTATAACACCTGACAAGATTTCAAGCATTCGTCGTAAAATCGCTGTTTTATTCGATCCTACTTGTCAAAAATGATCGATTCAATTAACAACTCATTGATCTCCTTTGGGTGCTTTCATTTTTAAGGCTAATTTTAGAATTCTCTTCCGTTTGTCAGGATTATTCACTGTACATTTGCGTAATTTTGCGCAACAGGTTACACGCATCGGACTTATATGCGCATATACAAGCAAGGTACCAGAAATTAGGATATTCTTAACGACGATAAGACCTTTTAAAAGTGTAGTTAATAATAGTTCGTGGCGCTATCGATCCTCCAAGGACGACGCTTACGGGCAGACGGCCTGGCAAACGAGTTGTAAGGTCGAGGCTCAGTCCCAGGCTCGCCGCCAGAAAAATCCCAAACAATCGGCAACGTTGCCGCTTCTGCTATGCTTTGTTGCCGTTATGACACCCGTACGTTTCAGTTTCATGCTCCACTTACCGATAGATCCTTACTACTTTCCCATGTACGTTTGCTAGTTTTGAATTATTCTTCCTGATTAGACCGGAGACAGTTATGTAAAAGTTTTGACCGTTTAAACATATGTATGTAATAATAATATTTAACGGCTTAATGACATCGTAGTATGATGAAATAGGCAAAGTTCAGCATTTCTGCTGCTATAAAATCTAACCTTCGTGAAGATTAAAAGCGGAGTAGAATGTCTATTAGGATATGTCAAATTTCTATTCAGTTTTGTTAGAAACAGTTGGTGCTCTGTGGTACACTGTATTTCTCAAATAGATTTATACTCTTTAAATAGTATTTGTACGATCGGTTTGTTTGTGTGTGTTAGACCCGTTTATTTTAGCTTTTGAAAGTGTATGGGATAAAATTTATTAGACAGCAATCTAATGTATCACCCCTTAATCTGTAGGGTGTAATAAAGAGTAGTGAAAAAGTTTCATTACTCTTGCTTGAGATTTTAACATTTTGGTAATAACACGTAATTGATGTTACACTGTATTAAAATTTGAAAATTTTGTTTGATGTATTGCGTACTATATTTTAATATGCTTGTATAGTTAATGAATAACGAAGCATTGTTAAGCCTTACACTTTGGTTGGAACGGAGCCATACTATTTATTTTTATTTCATTCATTTTTTTTACATCTTAAGGTTAATAATCTGCATGGCATTGCTTCCTCGAAAAACTTCACTTTTTTATTTGCTAATATGATTTAATGTCTTCATACACTTAAAGAAACCTTCGGTTAAACGCTTATTCAAACAAAAATTCATTCGAGTATTTGGCGATCAATCTTCCGTTTCTATGTATATTTGTCATCGCTGCGGATTGCAATTTCCGTATTAAAATAACGGATTTTTATTATCTGGTATTGTCAAAGTCTGGCTATAGATTATCTAAATCATCCAGATGACATAAGATTTTATGCTCGCGTGATGTAAGATGCATGTAACGTCGTCTACTGTAGCTTCATTAAAAACGAACACGAGGAACTTACCCATTACAGAAGTCAGATAAGATTGGGCTTTCAATTCTATTTTATAAAACAACATTGCACTCGTTTTAACTAGGTGTCCCATTTCGTTCTATGGCTAGCAGATTTTGAAACGCGTTCGTTGCCACCATTTTGTTCGGAAACCGTTACAGACAGAGCTTAGATTTTTGACGTTCATAGATATCAAAACTTGAACTACCGACGATAATCGTGACAAACTCTTGAAAGTATATAAATTTATAAATTAACGAACTTTCATATTCTAATAAAAACTGTAAAAGGTCTGAGAAAATGCATTCTTATAACATTTTTGCTTTGGTAGTTCTAATGTTAAACAATGTAAAACAGAGATAATAAATAATATAAATGAGTTCACAAAATATGATAAGAATGTCAGTGCATATTTCAGACTTCATTTGGGTTTTCAATGTAAACTATATAAATATAATGTTAAATAGAACTTTCAAGAGAAACTGGAGCGTCACATTGTATATTATATTCCATCGTTCGGTAGATTGTGGATCTTTATGGAAATATTCAGTTTTACAGACCTGGAACTCACAGAAACTGGAATACAAAATATCTTTGTCCACTCTACGAAGAAGTTCTATCAGGTCTAACACAAAAATACAAACCATAGAACTTTATTCAATTTACAACGATATTTAGTTTTAGACAATCATGCATAAATCCAGAAAAGCTGTCCATTATGTTTAAAAACGAACGGAATAATACTAATCCATAAATATAGCCACACTGGCAAAATCAGAAATGGGCACATGACGTCTGCAGTGACCCCTTTCTTTTTTCAAAACGTAAGTAAATCAAGAGGTATTACAAAATAAAAACGAATCAGTCTGATAATTAACGTTTAGTAGTTTTACAAGGAACGAAAACCAAATAAATAAATTGTACTAACTGCGACCCCACGCGTCTACTTATGGGTTAACCCTAAATAATGCATGTTATTTCGTGTATTGTGGTATTCCCTGTGCCCGCATAATTCATATTTATGGCACACTAATCGGCTTCTTCGCAAGTGTGTTCGTTGTGACTCGTTTACTCGGCGCGGCTAATACGCGGAAAACGACTCAATACTTGAACTCGTTTGTTCGCCGACGTAACCGTTAACGTCATTCATTACAGCTGTTAATTCGACGTGTTCGGCGTTGTACACACATAGTCTCGGACTTCCCACAACGTTGGCGGCTCCGAACGCCGTCGTCGCGTGTACACTACCGCTCATAAATATTAGGGACGCACGGTCTGCATGAAGAAAATGTTACATTTTTCAAAAATTATATATTTGTGGCCACGTTTATTACTTCATAGCAGCATAAATGTTGTCCATCGAGTATAAATAGGGTTAACGCGCCAATGATTGAACACTTAAGAGATTTTCTAACTATTAAAATCGATTTTTAAATGATAATAATATTAATAAATATTTGCCACATGAAAATTAGGTTTCTTAATATCTAGAACTTTCATGACGTACCTAGATTTCAATTTGAAATATTGGAAATATAATTAATTCAAAAGAAAAAATATAGACTTTACCAGTGAATGAACAGTGTTAAATACATGAACATTTTCAACTAATAATGGCGCGAAAATAGTTTCAATGTGAAACGAGGAATTGAAAAAAAATCAATATTTAATCATTTGTTTGTTGTAAAAACTTAATTTACTCGTGTTTGTGTACAATGTTCATTTACTGGCGCATCTACCGTAAATAATGTTCAATTCAGATTTTCAGCAATTTTGTAATGCCTTGTAACATTTAACTGCATATTCGTTAAGTGTCCTGAAATACTTATGTGCGAGAGTGTATAGTCCTTCGAATTCTTTCCTATATACGGTGGCCCATTTGACGCGACTGTGGGAAACACAAATGTCCAAGGAAAAAACTATTGCGTTCCGTTGGGGAAAAATATTATCGTCGACGAGATATTCCATTTAAATGCGCAGACCGTACGTCCACGGGTTTTAAAGTCATCGTTGCTTTGTGTTTTCAATGGATCTATATATCTTTGTTGGAAGCCGACATCAACAAAATTTCACGGCGTAGAAGACGATGATTCGCCAAAATTTCCGCAACGGTCGATTCGAACGGAAGAGATTGCACGGACTGTTTTTTTCCGTCTTGCCCGTTTGGCACCGTTAGATTTTTTAAGAGCTTCCTAATTGCACGTTCGCAATGATCTTCGTTTAATCGGAAAGAACGGTATACTATTTAATACGTTCGCGAAAGTATTTGTACAAGCCACAGAGACAACGGAAGATTATTTTTTTCGACAGATCCAACGACTTTATTTTTGCCAGATGTGTACACTTACCGACAAAAATTAAGAAACAAGGCAGTTTCTCTGTGAACATTATATTTGTATGTAATTAACGACGGTCGACCTCTATTTTCTTATGTTTTTTTGGAACGAACTGTACATGGTTTTTTCCATTTTGTTCGAACAATTATGTACGCAAGTGGTAAATGAAAATACATTACACAGTCTCCCATTATATGCTTTATTTCTTAATTTTATTAAACCCCTTTTTATTACTGTATATTATTTTTCTCTTTAATCTCAACTATTCTACCTGCAAGTACAAACTTCAAAAAATGTTTACAGAATTTTGTTCGTCTTTTCGTTGTAAGTCCATACTTTAGAAGATATTTTTTAAATCACGTACGGTCACTTGTCTCCCATGTCTACATCTAAGAACCCTTAAAATACGTAAATTTGACAATTCCTATTCACTTCGAGCAATTTTCATTAGTATTCCCCATTTAACTATTTCCCGATAAAATTTCAGTGTTTACGTTGGACGGTCACACACGACACAATCCAATAATTGAAAAGGTTCCGTATAGGAGCCAATCCCGAAGGTCGTGTTATATTCACTTACATTCTCGAATTCCTCCCAAACCGTTCCTCTTCTAATTTCGTCATCGTGAAAACATTGTCCCGCTGTCTGTCTGGCCGGTCACGTGGACTGTGGTAAAGGAGCGCACTGCGAATTTGGCTGGTTGCGGTCTAGTCGGTTGACTTGAAAACGTCTCTGGTGACGAACGAAGGCGTCGTCCGTTTTAACCGTTTCCCGTCTTAGAAACCGCGAGAAGCTGATACGTTATACATACGCGCGTGTCGGGTGTTTTGAACGGATAGACGCACCTAAAAACCCGCTTTTACCCCTCTGGCTGGCGCTAAATTTAGCGTGGGTGGGCGTTTCGCCGTCCACCGGTTTGTGCCAAACAACTAGACTTTTCGTACAGGGTGCAGCTGTCTCGGGGCTGACAGAATAATGTGTCTCTCCTTGACGACAGCGGGACCGGTATTGGCATTATTCCGACAATAGTTTGACCGTGCTCGCTTGGGAATCGTTTCAACGGCACTCTGAATTCTTTGGCCTTTTCTGGTTCCCTCTTCCGCGATCCGATCAAGAACCAATTTGCATCATTTGGTCCCACGGGTCTAGCAATCCTACGCTCGGATGGCGTTCCTCGGGATATATACATGTTCAGTTTCTCGTTTTTACTCTCGACCACGGCGCACAGTGGCGTTATATATGCCAGAATGGTAATCTAGATGAATTTAATTTAAATAATGACATACTCAAAAATATTTTCTGTTGCCATCATTTTACAATACTTAGATAGTGCCAGCAATCGATAACACCATTGAAAATGTTAAAAATGACAATAATACTACGAACAAAGTTAAGATAAGTTTAAAGAAACTGGTTCCATTTTGCACTACACATATTATTCATAAAAATCATGCGCTTCGTTTTTCCTCTTTAAGCAAAAATATTATTTATTGAAATACCAAAAGAGGATGCTGAATAACTTGTTGCTGCAGAAAGAAGCTAAACCCATGACTTATTGAAAATTTTTAAATAAAATTTCATTCAATAAATGTTACAATGGTAAATATCATTAGAGCTACCTACAACAAATTTTTTTTCACAAATTAAATTCAGATAGATTGTCAGTCTGGCTCAACTATGAACCGTGTGGCCCTGTGCTCGGGTCAGTTTCGTAACGTTCAAAACACCCGGCGGATACCGCGATATTTCCTGGTTTTTCCGGTCGGGACGAGCCCGTTCTCCACTATTTCCATGCTTCGTAGGATTCGCTCCTGTAGTCGATGTCCGCTCTGTACACCGCATTGAAAGTCGTAATTCTTGCATGACCTTACTGTCGCCCCGTGTGTATGTCCGCGTGACGACACGAGGAATTTCTGCAACGGTTTATTTCTATACGTCTATAATTCGACCTCAGAAAATTCGGATTCTGTTATTCTTAAGGACACGGCTGTCGGTGTTGAACAGAGAATGATCGTCATCTTTTGTGGTGATTTCGCATTGAGGACTTTGTGTCGCTTGACGCGTAACTGTGGTGGATCGATCGTGAGGAAAGTGTAATCGTAGAGAAAGTTTTAATGGGTTTGATTTATTTTTCACCGTAGTGAATTACTTAACAGAGAGATTTTTCTAAGGATCTGTGGTATAGAAATTACAGCGTTGGTGTGGAAAGATTGCAAGAATTACGAATAAGATGTAATTTAAATTTAATTTAAATCAAGATATCTTTTGAGATTGTGAAATTTTGTAATAAACTCGCTCCTATTTTTTTTTTACAGCCAGTATCACGTGTTTTTCACTTATTTCAGTGTCAATTTTTTTGTGTGTCAATATTTACCTTCATGAAATGTTCAATAAAAGAAAAGAAGGATATATGTAGTCTATTCGGTTAGGATAACGTTTAAATAATGGAGTATTTCGATAATAGAACATTCAAATGTATTATACTGAATTACAATATTCCAATATTTAAACGGTAGTTCTATCATTAAAGAGCAATAATTCACGAAGACTAGAATCGAACAGAAATCGATCTCCGCCATTAAAAGTTTTGTTCGATCGAAAACAAAATGTGAAGTTCGGCAAGCATTGTTAAAACTGTTCTATTGTAATTGTGAATGCTGAAAATTCACAGTGTTCCACTACTTCCAGGTAGAAGTATGGATTGATTACGTTACTTCCGCCATAGGCGAGTCACACGAAGCGCTCCCCCTCCTCGTGTGGCTGCCTTATGTTCATCGCACAGATAGTAATAATCCATATTCATACCACGTTGCATGTAACGAGTTGAAAACGATTTTGCGCTGCAGGTTTGCAGCTCTTTGTTCCATTCAAACGTATATATAATTGTAACGATATTCGAATTGATAAACCAAACGAGAGCACGTGGACACGAACGTGGTACCACAGACGATATATAAGGATATACCTAACATGCAATGTAATTTTCTGTCCCATGTCACGTGTGAATATAATTTCTGATATCAGAAACTTTTATGTTTTCGTGGGACACTAAGTCCCATAAAGTGTTAGGTCTATTCTTATATCTCGTCTGTGGTCGTGCACAATTGTACCCGGACGGTACAACAGTGCGCCTCAAACACGAATTACCGGCCATTATGCGGTTAATGGAATTGTTTCGGCCTTATAATCCTGCTGGCTCGTTTTTTCTCCATTGAAACAGAATACTGTCGCATTTTCATGGCCACAAATCGAATTCCATGGCGGAAACTTTCGTTGAATGTTAGAAAGTAATCACATTGAATCAACAATTATTCTATACCTCGTGTCACATAGGAAACACGCGAAGCATTGCTGATATTCGAGGTTATTCTCTACTGGTTATGCGCGCGAGGAATTCGAACCACGCTTCTTTACCGATGTATACTGCGTTGTAACGGTCTAATCTTCGTTATTATTTTTTTTATCTCGTATCACGATGATTTCGATAAAAGTCACATGCAGCTTACTTTCTCGGTCACATCATGTTTTTCGCGGTAGCAGACGAAATTCTCTCAGTAATGGCAATATTGAAAGAAATCTTTTGTTGCGGCAATTGTTTGTCAAGTTTGTCAATTGTAAGTATCGGTTGTAATGTCGAAAGCCGACTTTCGTTGCGGCAATTGTTTCTCGGTGTTATCGTGCTGTTAGATTTCAAGAAATAGAATCGAATGAATTGATAATTGTGAAGTAAAAAAAAGAAGGAACTGAATATTCATTGGCTTGCCAAATTTTGTATACACAGTTAAGACATTGTACAAGTCTTACAGTTTCATTTTTCGTTTAAGCTCGTGGATGTTTTTATTTATTTAAACATGGAAATGTACTGAATTGGCACGTGTCTGTTGTGTTGCAGGATACTCTTGTACACGCATTACCGTCGGATAGGTCTGGATTTGCAAAGGGCATTCGCAAAAACATTGGGGGGCGCTGGCGTCGCCTGGTGAAAAGGAAGCCGGAGACGGAGACTTGTGCCATTCCGCCAGAGTTGAAGGATCAGCTGAAGACGATATACGTCTATTGACGTCCAGGATCGTTGAGTCGTTAAACCGATTTCTTTCACGAACCTTCCACTCAGTAATCAATGCTTTCCTGTACGTAAGATAGAAATACCGTATCGAAGAACAGAAACGCTGTGTATGGAATAAGTGAACTCTCGAATGTGATCGTATGCGATTGTCCGAGCGATGGTATGCTCTGTGAGACAAGAAAGATAATCATAGGGAATATGCGTGTATATGCGTCATCGTATAATCGTAGGAGGGACAGAAAGAAGGTGTGAAATTTAAAACAAACGTAATCACTATACCTCCGACTAAACATATCAGAAAGTGCCTAAAAACCTACCTTCCTGAACAAATTGAGAGCACGCGAGGAAAATTATCCTTCTGACACGTTGCCTATTTTTGTAAAAATATATTGCATAAGGTGCACACATTTCATGAAAATAGAGAGGAGAAAGAAACACAGGAGTACCATTTGTCACCATATTAGATTCTAGAATAGTTTGCGACTAGACTGCGGATATTTATAAAAATTCACGATTCGATAGATTTCTTTTGCAAACAGAAATAAATACAAATTTCGTGCCATCTGTCGATGGTTCTATCAGGTAGCAAACAAAAGAATTTAAATGAAACTTTCGTGCCATCTGTTGATGGTTTTCCTATCAGGTAGCAAACAGAAACAGTCCACGGAACTTTACCACGATTTTTATTTCATTATATTTTGGACGGTTTTGCATTTTCACGTTACGGACGCATGAAAATCCGCAGTCTATTTATGGTGAAGCGTATATGTGTGTGTGTGTGAGTGTGAATAGGCATATACGAAACTGAAAGAAAGAGTAGCTTTCCGCGAAAGCTTTTGTCGCGCGTGCGTGCATCATCGCTCGTGTATGTATATATACGAAAACGGTAGTAAAAAGAAGCTGTTCGACTTCGATACGCAGGACGACGGCGCGTCAAGAACTTCATGAGACTGATATGTAAAATGTACGACAACACGAGTGTCCACAGCTCGTCGCTTTTCAGTACGTTTTTACATGATTAATAGGTGAAAATCACTTCGAATCGTTAGTATTAATGTATACCTGAAAAATATACGACCGTCGGAGCTGCCCCGTTTTTTTTTTTTTTTTTAGGCTTCTTGTTCTTCTGTGCCCCTTCCGGCAGCTCTGTTGCGCTGTGCAAATAGATGTGTACACAGTGAATCCACCAGTGGTTGTCGCCGCTCGTAGCTAGGCGACGCATAGACGAGCTGCGGGAACCATTGGGGCGTCGTGAAACGGTATGGCCGCACGCAGACCTGGCCATTTCTCGCGGCCATCGGTGGGGTCGGCCGATGATCGCAGTCATCGATTTTTGTTATACTCAAGATACGATCAGAACCGTAACACAAGTGCCTATCCGCCTCACCAGAAGTGGCTAGGTCGCTCATTGTGGTCGCAACCACTTATTTCTGTTATACAATCGAAATTTACCGACAGTACGATTAAAACGGAATCAATGGAAGCGTGGCAGCCATCTTCGTTTACATTTGGGTTACATAAATTAGAAATTAATCATCGACAGCCCAGGTAGTTTAGTTCGTCAAAGCAGTCATCTAAAAAATGAAAAACCCTGGGTTTGACTCTCGGTTCGGTACTCGACTGACCGATATTTTTTTTTTTGTTTTGTTTAGTCCTAGAACAAATACCTATTGCGCAACAGAAAGTGGCTGCGGGCTTCTCATTGAAAAGCATTGAAAGTTATGACCAACTAGACCTCGACAAATGGACGAGTCTGCGGGCAGCCTAATGAAGGCGTAAACTACTTTTAATTCTTACGATGGCCGACCGTTAAAGTAATGCCCCGAGAATTTCCCACGTTACATACTCGTTTTGAAAAGCTTCGTGTGTCGAATTGGGAAAGGGTAGGGGTCGAATGAATTGCTGATTCGTAGCTGCGCTCCGATCAGGGGGTTCATCTGACCGTTCTTCGCGACGGGATGACGTAGCATTTCGTAGATACTTGTAACATAGGCCAATTTTAAGATTTGTTAATAATATTCGACAGCTCATATTGAGCTCTCCCGTACTACAACGCTAATTATGGTATTTTACTTGTATTGTTGTATTAAGCAATACCCCGTGTCTTTTTGGAAACGTGGCTGAACGTCGATCGATCGATGACCCGCTCAACTAGGGACTAAAACGGCGAATTCGTTCGATGCTGAGCCACGTTTGCGCCAGTAGTCAAGCTATTCGTTTCTATATTAAGCGTATTTCTCGCACGCGTGGCTTTTTTGTTTCCAGACCTCGATAACATTAATTAATTTATGCAGAGTGAATCAAACGGAAACGGCGGAAGACGATGTGTAAATATATTGTTAACCCCCTCCCGGCGGCGAGAGATCGCGACGAAAAGTTTGTTTCTCTCCGTTGCACCACGCGAGCCGAAATATCGCGTCGCGACGTTCCTTTTACGGCTCGACCCCCCTTTTAACCCTTTACTGTAATTATTTTGGTAGAATGTAAATACATGTTACAGCAACTCTTGTTTATCAGTAAATGTGATGGCATAATTGATTTTATCGCGATTACGAGTATGTATTTTTAAGGATCAGTAACGTGCCTACAATCTGTGTACGGTAAAAATGTTTTTTTTTTTTTTTTTTGTATGGATGAAATCCAGGATGGAATTTGTGTATCCATCAGCTAGTCACGTGATAATAATTGTTCAGAAAAAAACTTGTACTGTATACTTTCCGGAGCAGCTTGAATTTTTCCTCGCGAATACCTGTCTGAATACAACAATATCAAATAAAGTATTCAAAAGGACACCATGTGCTTTTATTCCGATGCCATTTTATCATACACCCTGACACGGTTTTCATGAAACATTCGTGCAAATGGAATCGACATCATTTAGAGTTTAAACAGTAAAACCTGAGGAATTTATCCGAAAAATGATTTCGCTTGAAAATAATTTTTGTTAATAAGTGCTACGAGAAAGTTCAGATATTTCACACGAGGTACGTAACGCAGGTAACCATTGAAGTTAAAATACTCCGAAGTAAAACATTTTTTTAAATAATGTAATATAAGAATATAATAATGATCACTTTTGCAATCATAATTTGGTTATTTTTAAGAGCATCATGAATTGTCCGAAGTGAGTTCAAATACTGTAACATAGAACGCATAGTCAATAGTTATTAAAATGCTAACTTATCGAATTTAACGTTTCTTTCCGAAAGAAATTAAGAATACATAATTCATTCATTATATTCTCCATTATTCTCGATCATTCCACGCCATTTTTGCCAAGGAAATATAAATTGAGTAACAATAAGTACCTGAATAGTATGTAAAAAAAAATAAAATTTTCAACTTTCCATGTCTAAATCAATCTTTTAGAAGACTAAAGTTCTCTTTATTTTTCGTTGAATTTCGACTGGCAGGTACCAAAGATCGACAGATAGAAGAAACAAGATGTCGAAGAGGAGATGATCAACGCAGGAGAACAATTCCAAGAATTAATTTCTCTGGACTACATCGATGGACGCTCCTAATATAATTATAGCGCAGCTCTCGTAGTAACCAGAAATGTATAATGAAAAGTTACGAACGTTAACAACATCCTACGCATGTCTAAAGATGTTTTGTTTGTTAAATGATTCGAGCTTGCACTCGCCATGAGGTCATACTACCGTTGGATGACTGACATTTGATGGTCGCGTTGATTATTAATGAAATGTTTCATCTTTAGCTTGCGAATTACACACATCGATGACGTCCTAAATAGATGATCTTAATTTCACAAAATTTATTAAACCTTATTAACTTAGCGAAGCATGGACACATGACGTTGCTTTAATTGAAGCTTCTGATGAATCACCTGTGAGCAGTTGAAGAATTTTTGGATTAATATAGTGTTAGTATGATACGGAAAATTATATTTCTCGTTTGTTTTGGAACAAGGATATGGTTACATTAAAAATTGAAAATTTCATTCGTTTATAACAAAATAAACTTAAGAAGTTAGTTAGGTACATATTGTGGGGAATCGTTGACTACAATGAGGAAAAGAGTACGATAGAAATTACCCATTCTTTTACAAACGAAACCATTTTTTACAACTGAAATGTAAAAACTAAATCTCTTAAAATAATATATTTACATATACATATAGAAATGCTATTCATTGCCAGATTTTCCCTTCTTAAAACATACAAGTAGCTAATTGAGAGAACCACTTCTTATTCGTGTCTATACAACCTGGAATTTCCTATGACAAAACTGCACTTTTTCTCACCAAAAACATCGTTCACTACTTTTTTTTAAGGAGTTTAGAGAGAGCTTCCGTTACGTCTTTATGACGCGCAGAAATGTTTGAACAGTTTCACGACTTTACAGCTTTATTGACTCTTTCATTTTACAAATAAATATAATATCTTTCGCGCTAAAATTTCAGGGAAAATCATGGGATTTTAAAAATTACAGAACCGTCAGAGGGCATTTTCAATCGAGATACCATAGTATGTACTCATATTTGGTGACTGTCGTATTACAATTGAATAGTTGCTGGTATCTATTGTTGTCATAACTTCCGTGTCTTTGGTAAAACAATTCTGTGGCTCAACTGAGGAATCAACAAACTATATACATGATACGATGCATTATTCATACGAATTCTAAATTATTTCAACTATACCGAGATATCGCACAGACGGCTTAATGGCGGCTTAAAGGCGCCTCAGTTTTAAAATGGCCGTAAAGTGGGCATCTTCAAGGCGTCATGTGCTATCTGGATGAAGATTTACGAAGTATGGAATGGAAATAAACGTACCTTCGGACACTTTGGGCTAGTTTTATTAATTCAATTAACAACGTGTTTATAATACTCTTCGTCTCTTCCTCTTATTTATAATTACATAATTGTAATGAACTGTTATTGTTTTCTTTAGACCCGTCGTCTTTCAACATCTTAGCGTAACTCATTCAAAGTCGCGGACACACGCTTGCAGAAGCACAATAGGATCAATCACGGTCATCATCACCAACCAATCGGAATCGTTAATCGTTAACAGTCGTCGTCAGATAATCACTCAACGCACCTATTTACTTAGTTTTTACTGGATATGGCAGCTACAACTTATAAGAAATATTACAAAACCACCGAAGATTCGTTCATCTTGCGTCACGATTGTGTGTGTCTCTGTATTCACATTCATACAATTGTACGATCATACCTGGCCACGAGCTCTCCGCGGGTTTCTACGCGACGATTCTTGCCAGTTAACGATTTCAGACTTGTTTATCCGTGCGTATTGGGCCTGTTCGGAACGTTGTCGGAATAGTTATCGCGGCTCGTGTTTCCGCACGAACTATGGTTCCAGAACGTGCGTTGGAATACGTCGTTTCTTATCCTTCCCGCCCCTCTCGTTTACGTACACCTTTTTGTTTTCTATCGACGTGATTTTCGTATTTCTCTTCTTTTTTCTTTTCTCATTTAATAAACACGATCGATCGCGCGCTCGATGGCTAATAAATATCGCGGCGACGAGTAGGAAGAACAGAGTAAAACGTGTCATGTGCCACGCGTCGACGCGCGCGCGCGCGCGCGCGCGCTCACGTATTTTAGGTGTATGCATGTATAATGTGTGTGCGTATATTTCGAGATCTTTACAAATAGTTGAGCTGTAATCGGACAAGTCCTGAACAAAGCCGCGCGAGTGCCGGATCCGCAATGTTTGGTATCGCGACTGCAAGAAGATTCACACCATACTCGTGCGTACACGCCATTCACTCCTTCGTTCTATGGGCTGCATATGCAAATTTTTCTCTATTAGTCTTCTAGTAATTCAGTATTAATTAGTTACACAATTAATTTATTTAATCGCTTGTAATTAATTACCTAATCGTTAAATCTGTATCTCGTGGATCCGCGTTGTCTCTGTTCCTTTGTTCCTGTGTGTGTGCATGTGTGTGTGTATATGTATGTACGTGGGAGTGTATACGTATATTTGTGTACTATGCGTGTGTTTGTACATGTGTATACGCGTGCACGTGGAAGTGTGCATTCGTATATGTAATATCCAATCTGTCCTCCTCCTCCATGTGTGCTCGCCTGTGTGTGGTATGTGTTGTGCACGTGATTCTAAATTCTCATCATCCTTCTTCTTTTTTTTTTTTTTTGTTCTTTTAATGCGAGACGGTGTTTCGTATTATCTCATATAGCTGGTATATCTATCTATTTACTTGAGTTTACGTGTTTATAAATATCGTATAGTAAACCGCGTTTTTGTCCACTTCGTCATTCAATTATGCGCTTTGTACAAGGGTGCAATGCGAACCGAGTGATAGTTGTTCTTTTTTACGGTCGACGGTGTGTGTACGTGTGTGTCCGGGGTGTGTCAACGTAATCTCGCGAAACCAGTCCGGGTGAAGCCCCGGCCGCCATTTTTCTCAGGACGTCCATCCCGCCAGAGAGACGACACGCGTTCCTAAACTCACTCGAGTAGCACCCTACGAATACGAATAGCAGAGTGTGTCGTTGATTGGTGGGGTGATTCGTCGACGAGGCACTCGAGTTGAGATTTGGTGACCGCGCGTCTGTTCGAGAACAGAGAAAGGAACATACCCGGCGAACAAGACATTTACCGGTTGGACGTCCTAGATCTAGCGTGAAATCGAACGGAACACGGAAGGAAAGTCCGAGATACGACGGAAAAACCGAAACACGTTCGAATGGGAGTAGCGGAAATGAAAAACGATACCGTCAAAGAACAGAGTAGCGCTCGCGCATGTATATATGTATATTGGTTCACTAAGTATGAAACTAGACAAATATTAAAATGCAAACTTTGACCTTTATTACCTGTAGTTTGGCGCCAAATTTCAGTATCAGATTACGTTAGTTTGAAAGATGCATTTTCGTTCTTCCATAAGTTATATTTACTTGTTAAAATATCTTAATTAATTTGATTGGTTTATCCACTATTGTAGAACCACGAGAAAGTCAAAAATTTGTGTGGTTTACGAATATGCAAAGTTTTGTGAAGGATCGACTACTAAAGGCCACCGTGAGCAATTGCTTGAAAAAAAATTCAAAGATGGGAATTTCAAACTCACCAGTGAGTCACGTGGAAGACCAGGGTCGAAGGTGGATAATGATTACCTGAAAGCCGTAGTAGAGTCTGATCCATCTCAAAATACCCATGAATTGGCATGCATCATTTGGCTCATATCGGTAAAGTGAAGATGTTACGGTATATTCGTCAAGTTTCATACTTAATGACCCAATATATGTATACTCGCGCGCGGTGGAGGTTCATCGCGAGTCTCGCTACGGGCCGATGAACTCCCGCCGCGGATGTTCGAAGTACCAGACGAAATCGGCGAAGTTCCCCTCTACTGCTTAAAATTACAAGTAAACGACTAGTCTCTGTCGATAGTCCAATTTTCTTTTTCCCTTCGACTCGAAAACTGATTGACTATTTTTACCTGTGGGGATAGCGGTTTTTAAAGACTACCGACCAGCGCTGCCCTAGTTTCTCATTTCGTGTAAATAGTTTACAAGAGAGTACGATAGGAGGCAATAATAGGTTTACGGAGTTAGTCGATTGACAGATTTCGAAATAACCGGTACAAGTATATCCCCCACTCGGTCGACATTCACGAACAGCTCGAACGACCGTTCCCCCTCCCCCCCTTTCGCCGAAAAAATTTTCTTCTCTGTGCTCTTTCGATACACTCTTTGGTAATACTCGGTACAGCATCCATCATCGCGTCGCAAACAACGTACAGGCTTGACGTGAACAGCGTTAAACAACTCGTGTGCTGCGAATTCACAGCACCCCAGGAATGTCTCGAGAAATGCAAAAGAAACAGCGGAAGATAGAGACAGACAGAGAGATAGAGATAGATAGAAAGTAAAAGCGAAATTGGCCGTGAAGAGAAAAAGAGAGAAAACCCTGCAATCGCGACGATCACGGGGACGTTGATCCGTTGTAGTGGTTATTACAATTCATCGAGGTTATGTCGATCAACGGAGACGATTTTTCGTCGAAAGCGTATACCTGGGATCTGATTCCTTCTCACCCTTCTCGACAGTATATTTAGTGTTTTTTTTTCCCCATCGATTCGAGGAACGTTGATTCTCTCGCGCATTCGAAACCACCGAATGGTATCTCATACCCTCTTGCTTTCTGGTTTTTGATTGTCGTGTTCTGCGCGCCTCGAGACCACAACACCACCACCCAAGCTTTGTCTCTTTGCTTCTCTCCACGCGATGATACACAGTTAATGGTAATAGTACTAACAAGAGTAGCAGTATCGATGCGGTAGCAATGAGAAAGCTTCGTGAACACACGGCCAAAATCACGCGGCGTTCCGGTAGTCGGTGCTTATTTTATAGATCTCGGTCGACGGATCGACGCCGAGTATCTGTCGTCGTTCGTTTCTTCGTTCGATTGGTCCGACGTCTATGTACGTTCCTGTCTGTCTTGTGTCGGCCACGATCGCGGCGCTTATCCGTGTGCACCGTCTGTATCCCCTGATGCTCCGTGCAGAGAACGTCATCGTGGTGGTCGCTGTGAAACGATCGTAACCGGAACCGGTCGTTCGGTGTTTCGCGATCCGACGATCATTGTTTCAGATTCGACGAGCCGTTGCAGTCCGCGTTTATTTGACGTATCGGCGTGGTTCGCTGTCAGTAGACCCACGACACAGGCACCCATTGAGGTGTCGTGTGGACCCGTTCGATGGCCGCCTCCAATTGCGCGATCGTCTCCTCGATGTCGTTGTTCACGATGGTGAGATCGAAAAAGTGCCCGTACGCTTGCTTCAGCGAGTCCGATACTTTCGCGAGTCTCTCCAGGCTTCCGTCACACTGAAACAGACAATAAGAACAGCTTGTATGAACATCGATGGATCGTTTCCGGCTTTTTTTTTTCTCATTTTAAGACAGACCTCGTCGAAACAATCTTACGGCGGGACTTTTGTGGTGTAGAACATTTGTCGGAGACTAGGAACTAGTTTGCTTTATTCTTAAAATCGACCTAGTGCAAATTGTCTTTGACAATTATACAGGGTGTCCCAACAGGATGGGGCAATCCGCAAAATGGATATTTCTCATGGAAATACAAATCGAAAAGTCTTAATTAATCTAGTATTACACTATACTTTTGCGAAATAAAATCAAGATTCTAAGACAAAAATTCCCAACTACAACAACAATCGAATACCATTTGATTACATTTAAATACAAGATTATTCTCATACATTTTCAAATGTAGGTACTAGTAGAAGGTTTGTTTCCAATTATGAAGCTACTGATCCCAATTAATTTCTACCGTTATTAACATTCGTGTTGTGATTATACGTAAACAACTTCCAGGTAGTGTACTGCTCCGCGTACTTCATGAAACAGGGGAATTTTCAGTTAACTGGAAGTGCCGAAGCTTCATAATCTCGTCACTGCTCTCGATTAATCGTTTAACTAATTCAACCCTGTGGCAACAGTTAGCTCTTCGCCCACCCCGTTCCTCTCCCTGGGGAGGTTAGTGGATCAATGCCTGGTTAACACTCACGTCGGTGATATTCTGGAATACCGGGGCGGCGATGAAAACGACGTAAGGCGCGAACTCCGCCGTGCGTAACACTTTCAAGGCTTGCGGCTCGACGTCCAATATAACCACCCTTCCTTCTTCATGAATCTTCCGAATTGTTTCAAGCTTCGTCCCGTACATGGCGTCCTCGTGTGTACCTGGTATAAGGATTAATAAGAAAAGAAAGAAAATTAAAATGAAGATTAATAAGAAATACAAGAAAACATTCATCGAAATTAACCCTCAAGGACATGTGTGCAGTATTCTCTACGCCACTGGCATAGAGAAGTCTTCTATTTCTTTAAATTTATTTTACTTGTAACATATTTTTTTCATCCTAATTACCTAGGATTAAAAATAGAAAATTATTACATTAACAGATAAAGAAAAAGCCTGCTGATGGCTTTTAAAATTACAGAAAAAGAAAATTACGTATTTATGGTCCGTATCCTTAAGGGTTAATACTTTTCGTAGAGACATTTTTTTGTCGTTATTTACCGTATTCGAGATATTCATTGGCTGCTATGTCGGCCATCATTTCCTCGTGCGATACGAAATAATAATTGCGACCGTTCTCTTCGTCGTTTCGCGGAGGCCTCGTTGTATCTGGACAATATTTTATCGTTGTTAGTTTTCAAATATATCGTACGTTGGAAATGTCTATGTATACGTGTTTAATAGATCATTGGTTTTGAACTACAGTACACTATTAAGGTATACCAATGAGTAAGACACTTTTCCTCCAATATGGCGGCAATATATTTTAGCTTCAGAATATTTCTAAAATCTTCTGTTTCGTCTAAATGACGGCAGGTGATGGGCATAAGACAGGAATTTGAATGATTTCGAAATGAATAAAGAATTTCGCGAAAACTAGTGGACTACTTATTGGTACACCTACTAATGACAAAATTTAAGGGAATCGTGCAATTTATAAAAAATTTACAATGATGTATATAGATAATGTTATGCTTACGTGGAATAGGATAGGCATATTTGTCCGGATGCTTCGCGATAATCGTATTTTTTATGTGCCGACGACCAACACCGTGGGCTCCTAATAACACTAGTGTTTTCCGCTGGAATGCAGGATCTGTCGCGTAAAATTGTACAGGCATTAGGGAAATATGTTCAGGGAGTACTTTCGAAAAATTATGTAAATAGGATTATTCTTAAGATAACGATAAAAACAAGTATTTAACTTACAAGGTAGCTTAACGACCTCCTCGTAGGTGACCAGATCCAGCTGGTCGAACACTGCGTTGTGTTTCGCGAGGTACTTATCCTTGTATTGCTTCTTTTTCCGGCCGAATATTGAGCAATTCACTGGAAACGTGAAACAATTGATTATTCGCGTGTTTTGACTAATTAAAAATCTGGGGACCAACTGGAAAGTATCCTGCGAGAGAATAAATTCTGGTCCCTTTTTTCACGTCTTTCGAATTAATTCTTTGTAGAGTTTGTCGTTCACGCTACATTAAAAAAATAATTTAACTAATAAACAAACCGATACATGAATTATATAATTCATCGAGGTTGTAATAATTCTTTGAATTTAATATTAGCGTAGTATTTATTTCTATTTACTGGAGAACAGAGAATTAATTAAATTTTCTACATTTCTAAATGGCTTTACATTCGTTATACGATCTCAGTCAACTGATCTAAGGTGTCGAAACCGTGGTGAAATTAGCTAAGTGATTAGTAATTTGCATTATAGTCTGACGTGATATTGATTTACAAAAATATTCGATTGCAAAGAGAACAGCGTATGCAAGTTGTTTCGTAACATTGGGAATATCACTGAAAGAATGGATTCAGTATCTGGAAAATCGTGACAGGTCAGCCATATTGGTTTTAACTGAAACTTTTATTTGTATCGTTGGAGTCGTATGCTTTTCGAAATTCTCGTTCTTTTTCCGTTGATGACAAGGACACTGGTTAAAATATTTTCAAAAGAATTTCCCATTATTTAAGGGAAAGAGACAATATTATCTTAATTACTCGGATAATTTTAATCGACACCACGCGTATTCTGTGTGAAACAGTAATAATATGTTACACGATTATTAAATATTAAGCAATCAGTGGTTTGAAATACCGCTAATTGAGATTTGTGAGTCATTGTAAACAAATTATAAACTAAATAAAATTTGTATCACTACGTACATTTTTTTTGTTCTAGGTTTCAAATCCATTCTTGCAATCTTTTCCACGCATTAACACGTTAAACTACTATGGAAGTCATCAGAAACTATCGAATTCAATTAAAACATATAAATCCTAACCAGCGTACAATATTACAAATACAGTACATAATAAAACAAATAGAAGAATTGTACATATTAACGCGTAAACATTTTATCCTTAATAACAAAAACGTAGAAAATATTGCACCAATGTAAATCAGAAGTAAAAGGAACTCCGTTTGATAGTAAACGTGTTAAGGCAAACCCTGCATGTGATCAGAAAATTTATTAGAATAGGTAAAGAATATACTGTCGACGATATTAGTTATTATGAAAATGTACAGATGGAAAATAATATATAAGAAGTAATCGATGTCAATTGCTAAGACTCAGACTGCAGATTTTATGCATTTGTAGCAAATCACTGAAAACTTTAATAACATTCAATGAAAGTACTAATTTATTCTATAGGTAATTCTTAATAAAGGAAATGAATTTGTGATTAATTCACACTTTTGTGAATCTGCATAAACGTCCACAGTCTGGCTACGACACTCACAACGCGCGTATCATTAGATCGATCAAAGTGTGACGCGTGACGTAGGCTGTAATTGAAACATTTAGCAGGCTGTACGCTAGTAAACATCCTCCACGAACGTCCGAACAATCAGCATCGTACGCGCGACAGAAGTATAAAGAGCTACTCTCGTAGAATCTCAATCACCGGTGTAAAGCGTAATTCTCGTCTAAATGGTAAAAAGAGATTTCATTCAGTCAGCCAGTTTACATAGAAGCCATAACCATAAGGAGGGAAGTGGGATTCCCACTGTGAGATGGGTGTTCCAGCAGGTCACAAGATGAGAAAGAAGGACTACCAGGGGTAGTTTTATGCGTAGATCTTGAAAACTGGTGTCGCGATCAGAACAAGATCATGATGACTTCGAACGAACGTAGGGTAACAATTCTTTTTAATTTCAATTCATGTTTATGCAACGGCCCTATCACTAAATTCATTTTTTCATGTGTGCATTCTGATTTAATAAAATTTTAAATACTAGGCTGCTGCACATGAATTGTTCTTTCTTTCATGCATTTGAACTTTTTTTGTCCGCTACTGGCTAGCAACTAAAAGAAGCTCTAAAATTTTAAACTTTCTTTCGATAATTTTTTTTACCATAAAGAACGGTTTTCTCTTTGTTAATATAAATTCTTCTTATTTTTAAGTGCATTTATTGCCTGCACTTATCATACAGTATAAAAAGTTCAAAAAAGTTACTAGTCTAGAAATATTCTTGGGTAATGGTTAAATAAATGAATTGAAATAACGAAATATTTTATTTTAATAGTAATTTTAACCGTAAATTATGATGTGTCAATTTTAAAGGTATTATTTTCAGATTTTTTTTTAAATCGATATTTGGAGTAAAAAAAGGCGACTGATCTTTTTACCGACACATTGCCGTTCGAAACTTCATCATGATGATGCTGCGACGATGTGCTTTTGCGAGTGGAATCGTGTGAAACAAGCGTAAGTGCATGAAACGTAGCGAGAGCATGCATCGAAGCACGCCGCGAGAGAACATGTTTTGTGTTGTATACCAAGAGTATACCTTGCTATTCACAATACAAACTAAACAAAGAAACTCTACCGTTTCGTCAAAGTTCGTGGACAAATAGGTAGTGTATCCCATTAACTGCTAAATAATATATCTAATGTTACTAATTTTCCAAAGTTAATAATCCTTTCGTTGTGTCGTTTTATTACCTGTTTCTGTCATAACAATGTTAATAAACAAATTTGTAACCTCGTCTGTGAAGAACGAATCTCGCTCTAAACGGACGATAGTTTAGTGAAAATGATCAAAGATATAGTTAGTTGTGCCGTTAAAGTATGATCATAGCTTCAAAGTTAGAAAATCCAACAATCAATTTTTGAACAGGAATAATATTAAAATTATTTAGTAAATTTAATATATTAATATTAATATTATAAGTATTTCAAAATCTGTAATAATATTAATTATTATATCACTATACATTTAAGACCCTACTGACAATAAAAATCTTATGAAGCTGCGCCCACACTTTATGGGAAAGATCCTGTACACTAATGTTATCCGCTACAGCAGGATGAAAATGTTATTCAACTTCGTTAATGGTATTTAAAATATTATCACCAGCATCACAGTTAGCTCTAACAGGATCAAAGGGAGCACTAATATTACCGTTGTACGCTGTCTAAAAAAGATAAACTCTAATTTCGTGGAACGATATACCTTAATTTGTATCCATACTATACAATAATTATGATTGCACGAAACTTGAAGATTTCATTCCTTGCTGTGTGGTATATGTAAGAAGCCAGTATCTGCGCGAAATGTTCAACAAGAATTGTAATACAATCATACCCCCGCAGTTGTACGCGATTCTGGAACGCGATTATAATCATTCCTACCCTTACAATTGTCTAGAATATATACAGATACATAAAAAAAAAATACATTTCTATCTAGCGAGGTAAACATTTTTATAAATACAGTTTAGAATCGATCAAATGGTTTATTTCGATTTATGCTAACAAGGAAACACCGCGAACGCTGACTCGCAGATTGAAATGAAACTTGGTGGGTTTATAGAATGATTCAAGACAAGAATAACGACATGTTTCATTCGTGGCCAATCGCCCTTTAAGGACGTGAAAATTAAACTAACCTCAAAGTCATCTAAGCAGTACCACTTTTTCGATTGTAACTCTTAAAGTACAAGAGATAAAAAACAAAGTTTGAAACAAAAGTTTAATGGTATAATAAGTTCTATAAACTTCCCTTACCAAAATACTAAAAAAAAATACTTTTTCTTAAAAAAGAAAATTTTGAAAAACATTCTTAAAAATTTTGTTAATTCAAATTTATAGCAATTATTATACCATTAAATTTTTGTTTGAAACATTTTGTTGTATCTCTTGCACTTTAAAAGTTATACGCGAAAAAGTGACTCTGCCTATATGATTTTGAGGTTAGTTTTCACATCCTACAAGGGCGATTGGGGCACGAATGAAACATGCCGTTATTCTTGTCTCGAATCATTCTATAAACCCACAAAGTTTCATTCCAACCCGCGAGTCAGCGTTCGTGGTGTATCCTTGTAAGATAATCTCAGAAATCAATGAACAATGAGAACAATGAAATTTTATTTTTTCTCTGTTCGAAGACATTCCGTATCGCTGCTTTCGGCTCCACATAGCTCAAGTATCGGGGGTATCGGCGAACAAGTAAAAACGGGGTCTGAAGCGCGTACAAATCGGGGAAGCATCATTGCACTCGAAACGTCTTATGCCAAATCTAGGTGATTCGTGACGATGAAGTGCACTGAATGATTTCCACGCTGATGAATTTCGTTTTAGCCTTTGTTTTATCATCGTAAATCTGTCGTGGTTATTGGATTTTTCAGTCGATTATTTATCAGGTGGCTCAAGATTCCTTCAAATCGATCTTTTTATTTTCCGAGTTAATGGCACCAAGTCGTTCCTGTGCACCGTTGCCAGAAATGACGCCCTCGAACTAATGGATTTTGTGGAGATCTAGGGTCTTGTTTCGGATAGACTAGTGACACTATAATTACAGACTGGACACGAGCCATTACCCGCTATGTTTATGCTAAATCTTACGAGAGAGAAAGAAATGTATACTATTTCATTCTTACCTATAGCAACGTTTATAACGGTATTTTACTTGGTGTGCGCAATTTCAATAGTATGAAAAATATTATTTTAATATTATTTAATAAGTTCAATTCTCTAATATATTAATACATCTAATATACATATAATACAATGTATCTTAGTATGCTATAATACAAAGTGTACGAGAAATAAGAGGTTAACATAAATTCCGATGAAAGTATCTCTAGGATTTCAGTAATGGTAAAATAAAAAATCTGAAATCCGTCATTTTGACGGGTTCGGTAGTTCCTATGTAGTGTTAAAATTGTGTTACAATTAAAGTTAGTTTAATTAATAGATTTAAAATTCGGCGGGAATAGCATAAACATGGCGAACCAATCAAAAGTGGCCGTCTCGTGTCCAGTTTCTGATTACTGTGCCTCTAGTCTACAAAAAACAAGATCCTTAGATCTCTATGAAATTCATGGTCTGAGGGCGTTATTTCTGGCAACGGTGTTCTTTGTGTTGGTTTTTGCTACAGTAAAGCATTCCTCGGAACTTCCCGTCGAAAAATTAATTGCGTGCATTGAAAGCACGGAACGAGTATATATGTATATATATATTTTGTACTTCATGCGGACTACACGGTTCTACGTGACTCTACGCACTGTATACCTGAAGGCAGAGTCATACCTGTCGAACCGTCGCAGCCTTCGGTGTGAGAAGAACATCCTCCTTCTCCTTCAGCATCTAGCCCCGCACAACACACAACAACAGGTGTATCACTGCAGCTAATTATTTATCCTCGAGCTACCTGTTACCGTTCCCCACCTGAGTCTACGTCCCCCTGTTCTTTCCCCCGATTGCGATAAATCATTTGTTTTATTTTTGAAAAACTTTTCTACCCCCTAAGCCATAGAAGTCTTCTTAATTACCATGTTGTTTATTATTATACGATGTCCAATTTATAGTCGAACGATTTATATTGTGTTTTATGACAGGAATGTTCGACGTGAAATTTCACGGGTTGATTTAATGAAAGAAATGATGAATCGATTTAATTGAATGTTGGAGGGCAGCTAAAGTGTGGTTCTTCTTAGGGCAAGAGTATTTCACAGTTATTCTTGTTAGATATAAATTATTGTCCATTATGAACTATGAGTAGGAAATTATATTTTTGTACTATTCTACATGTATTTCGATAATCATGAAACAGCATCATTCAATTCTTCAACCATCTATTTCATTCAACAGAATTTCTCAAACAAAAAACTTCTAGAATTTAGTCTTTCCAGAAATGAATTAATGCACATGCAAAAATGAAACGTATGTTTCTGTTCAGATTTGATGAAACTGCATAAAGTTTTACAAGAATTTAAACGTGATTTTATAAAATCAATTAAAACTGACTATTGATATACTATTCCGGGACTATAAATTACACAATTAATGTCTTGAAAAATGTATAAACGATATTTCTTTGTATAAACAATAGACTCTTAAAACCATCCGAACTACGAAATTCTTTTAAACATATGTAGGTATAAATTTTTATAAAACAATTCGTTTTCGAATAGCAAAATATTAAAATTATAATCAGTGGTATAATTGGAGGAAATTATCTTGCTAAAAAGAAAAGATTGAGAAGAATTATCTCAGGAATATGAATTTATAAACTCCAACGACCGATCGACAGAAAACGAGGTTGATTTACCATCGCAATTTCATTATCTGCAATCACACTAAGTACTTGCTCCCTTCGTAAATGAACGACCCTTCTGTATGCCGTACGGCAAAAAAACGACTGACATCAAACGGCACTACATGCTCCATTGACAACCTGCGCACAGCTAATAACACACACATGACATCATATTCGTCAGCACATTCGTTTCATGACAGTAGCGAGAATAGTGGAGGTAATTCGAAGAATTGAAACGTGATAGGTCTGAATGGATCGAAAAGGCAAAATGGCAAATCGCGGCGTAAATTTCACTGATATTTTCATTCGAATATTACATAAAATGCGATCTGCTGGAACCTATAATTACCCTGAACTGGTTCGATTTTCAAAAAAATTACGCAACAAGGTTGCACCGTGTGTGTTCGATCCAAGTGTGAATATAAATTGAGAACCCTTTGCACGATTAATATCCCCCATAAAAACGAAGTCTCCTCTTACGGATTTTTACCAATAGAATCCCAACTGATTTATACACAACAAACACACTCTTCGGAGCCTTGCTTCTCTGGTTCGACGACCAGACAAGACAAAAGTGAAATGAATTGTACTTTGGGCTAGGTTTTTCGAACGAAACGAGCACTGACAAGAAGGGAATGCAACGTTTACCTTGTTCTTGTTTATTCTTCTCCATCGCCATGTAAGCGATACGTCGCTCCTGAAGTTCAGGCGAAGGTATCAGTCCCGCGGAACCAGCCGCGTTGTCCTTCTGTGCCTGCCACCAATAGTGATCGTCCTTGCTGATGATCTGCAGTATGTCCCCGGTTTTAAACGCGATTCCGGCCTGCGCGCACGGGATCAGTTCGTCCTCCAGCGGATCGTAGTCGAATTGCGCTCGAACGAATATCTGTCGATGCAGAAAAATCAAATTGTAAATCTCTTCGATATGCTAATCCCTTTAAACGGATTTTTCTTACGGTCTCGGTGTATTAGCGATTCGATGTATGAAATCGGTGAAATGACATCGAAAGGTCTTGTTATTATATTCGGAACGATTATGATGTACAGGGTGTAACAAAAATGATGCAGGTCGTGAAGCGATTTGGAACAAGTTTTTCCTTAGCAAAAATGTTATCCGAGGCTTTGATAACGAGATATTAACGAAATTGAACCAATCGCAGGGCGTTGCCAACCTTACCGCGGGAACTCGACCGACAGACACGCGCTCTGATTGGTCGGGGTTTTGATATCTCGTTAACAAAGCCTCGGGAAACATTTTTGCTAAGGAGAAAACTTGTTCCGAAACGTCCCACGAGTGTTCTATTTCAGAGACCTACAACATTTTTGTTACACCCTGTATATATAGGGGGTGGTAAGTGAAAGACGTTAATAGTGCAGCAAAATTCGTTTCGTAAATTGTTACTGGCAAGAGGTTTTAGGGGGTGTGTGGGGGCCAGGGGGTGGATGAAAGATTCACAATTTCTCACTCAGATCACCGAAACCATTTGGGTTAATAGAGAATCACATCAAAGATAATTACTTTGTTGGCCCTAAAATGTGGGCGGAACGTTCGTTCTATGATAGCATCGATCGCTGTTGGATGCTACTCACACATCGGGGCGCGCTAGGCTAGCTGTTTTGCGAAATGAAACTCGATCATGGCGGAGAACAAGCGGTAAATGCACACGTGTGTGGTGTTTCAAGCGTTTAGCGACATGTCTTGCAAAGAGCTCTGCGCTGAACATGCTCTTCTAAAGGCCTACTGTCCATTAAGGCGTCTCGTCACAGACGCTTCATAGACATTTGACGCTTGCAGGACGTTTCCATAGAGCGACCAATTTAAAACAATGGACGTGTGTCCAGATATGCGTTTTGTCGCTGCCACTGGGCGTATAGAAGGATGCAAAATTTTCACTTGTGTTTTGTGTGTGAAATATGTCGGCCGTAAAATTTGTACAGATTGTTGAAAAGTTATCCATAAAATGTAAAAAAAAAAAAATAGAAAAAATACCGATGTTTGTACATGGCTAACACAACATCGCATTTTAGTGTCCTGTTTTTTTATTAACGGAGATACCAAACGCACTAAATTCTATAGAAAGAATGAAATACATGATCATTTATGTTCTTTTCTATGCAAGGACACTGATGAAGTATAATAATAGACCTTTCATTTTATGAGAATTGGTGGCCCACCTAAATTGTAGTACCGACACTTTCAAAAGATTATGATTTTAGCGACCTTTACGTTTTGAGAACGGTCAATCTGCGGTGGGTAGTCACACTGAAATGAAAATGGGGTACATAACCCCAGAAAAGTGGGCCGCAAAAATACATTGGATGAAATGTCTACTCCTATACCTCGTCTGTGGTAAGGATGTAAACAATATCATTTCCGAGTTTTACGACGTCGAATATAATTACATCTGTATCTGACAACTTTGCGAATGAAGAAAATGAAGCTTTCTGTATGCTTTGTATACGCTTCCAATACGCTCAAGTGGACAGAATTCAAGCGTAGCGTAATCGTCAATGTTGTACGCTGCGCTGACGTGTCTATGACCGAGACGCCTTAGTGGACAGTAGGCCTAAGGAAACACGATTGTATTGGATGAATGTTACAAATAGGAGAATACATATTCTTGCTTTCTCATCGGTTTGGTTTCTTATTGTTGCCGATGTACGCAATAAAATCTAATGTATACGATATTGTTATATTCAAATTATTTCATTTGAATGTAACCAGCGATCGATGCGTGGTATGAATTCGCTGCACAGTCGAAGCACCATTTAAACACTTTACGAAAGAGTTTGTGTATAAATACTTTGAGTGTATGTATTTAATTGCACAGAAAAAAAATGTATGACGTATACACAGGGTAATAAGAAAAGGGGTTTAAGACTTTAAGGATTTATAATACTCACTGAGAAGGGTAAAAAATATCTAATCAACCCAGGGTCTTTAAATCAATGCTTTAAGTGAGTGTCTTCGCAACATATTGATTGTGAACAGAAAAAATTGATTCAAAAGTACATTAATTCAAGGGTTGTATGACAATAGGCAATACGAGATACGGAAGAAATATTTGAACATGTAAAACGGAAAGAAGACATAAGGGACATCTGTAACGAATGTGAAAATAAACTATTTTATTCTTCTTCGAAAGGATTGACTTTACGACCTATGCTGATTAAACATTTTTCACTCCTCTAGGTGAGTACTGTAAGTCCCTAAAAAAGTAGCAAACCCTTCTTTTTTTTAACACCCTGTACATAGGATATTCAGTAACATATTCCTAACATTGGCAATATATTCTGCGAGCGGGAATAAATACAAATCGATAATATTGCATATAATGTTCTTTATGTCGTTTGTTATGAATGTTAAAGACTCGTAATCATAAATTTGAAAACCTTATACCTACTATTCAAACACCAGAAACAGATAAATGTAATTGAGATCATCAATAACATGTGGAATAATATATAATGACTCATATATTGATTTAAAAAGTAAAGTAATTAGTTGTGTGCATCAAAACAATAAACTCAAGTTGAAGATCAGTTACAATGATCAATGAAGTTCCTCCCTTTTCTCTAATTTATAGTTATTTAATAATAAATGTATCGATGAGAAAAAGATTCCTGGTTACGAAAAGTTTCACATTTCAAGTACGTACAATTCTTCAGCGAAATGGATTCGAAAGGAACATTTATACGCCATTTTGTTTTTATCTTCCCTCGTAGAATACACTGCTAGGGTACGACATACTATACATCATTTTTAACGGTTTTACGTGAAATTTATACCGCAAAGAGCATTTTTCATCGTAAAGCATTTAAATGTAAGCCGCGACACGGTAAATCCCGTGTTTAAAGGGCCGACTGTCTGCAGAGGAATCGCAATAAATTCAACTTATTCGCGGATTCGATTATTAAAAGGGAACTTGATGGGGCGTTTGTAAAGCGTTAGTTCGATTAGCTCGCACTTCGAACAATTCAGGCGAAAAGATTATACTGAATCGCTGGTTTCCAAGGGATGCCATTCTGTTTTAGTCATCGCGAGAGTGATTGAGTTAAAACGACATCATTCTAATCGTTACATACACGGTTTGGTACACAAATCGAATTAGAGAGTTCGATTACACTAAGACGAAAGTAACACGGTTACGTTTCAGCGCTGGGGAAAATTTGAGATACGCTTGAAATAGTACAGTATAATACATTGTCATGAGAGAACATTATTTTTTATTTTCTACACCTAGAAGATATAATTTCTGTCAAGTTTGGAAATTAGAAATAAAACGACACTTTCTTATGTAACCTTTGCAGACATGACAAGCAGTAAATTTTGTCGAAAATAAAGTAACAAGAAATTTTTATCCGCTTCATTATATTACATTTACCCTCTTCTTTCCTATTAATAAGTCAATTTGTTCACTTCAAATGCTAAGGTGTCGTTTGTATCAATTATTATTTAATTCTCTCTTAAAGCGACTTCACTGTATTTAAAACTATAACTGGATTAACTGATCCCCGATTTTTGTCTCCACGCCATCTTTGTTTCAGGGGATTTTTAATGAAAGAATACTTTCAATATTTCTTGCAACAGTCTATCTTAAGCCAACTTTACTGTACTTCGTTGAAATATTCAAATTTACATAACTTTACAATTGAACAAATTTTCAGCCGATCTGATCGTCTTATTATTTCATTCATCGTGTTCACTTTTCGTTCTCTATTTCAAGTACACACTCAGTTTCCCCAGCCCTGTCTCGTCGTCATAATTAAAAATCAGTGCAACGATCAGTTCATCTAGCGATGCATGTACAATACAAAGAGTACTTCGTCACTTTCTTTTTTTTTTCTTTTTTTCTTCGTATGTTGTTCGTTAACAGTAAGCGGAAGCACTGGATGCTGCACAGTACGTAAAAACACAGCGGACTGGTACACACACACACGCGCGCACGCCACACATACGCAGAGGCACACACACGTATACACAGACACGCTTGAAATAAAGGCGCGCGCGCGATATGCAGAGTATGCATTCGGGCTCTACGTAAATGTGCGAATAAGAAACGGCGTATGATGGAAATAGAATCATGTGATGCACAGTGACAATATAAAGGTGCCGTGCGACTTGTTCTGGGCAACGTTCTGCGGTCGAAACAAGTCGACGATGATTCGTAATGAATATAAAAGAGGGATGGGAATGAGGGTGGGGGGGGGGGGGGGGGGAACCCAGGTCTGCACGAATACTGCTCTCGATATTTCTCTATTTCGCTCCAGGCGGTTACGGTCCGATCAGAAACATCGAACAGCCCACGAGAGAGAGAGAAACGTTTTTATGGCCTTCTTTAACTGCACGGACATTTCTCGTGGATCGTGGATATACAAGGTGTCCCACTTAACATGAACGTCTTAACAATAGAACTACCAAGCAAGTCAAAATGACTTGCCAATACACTCTTAAAACGATGATTAAAATGTTATAACAATCCATTTTCTCAGATCTTTTGTAACTTTTATTACGATACGACATTAAAGAAATTAGTTAATTTATAAATTTGTAAATTTTTGGCAATTCTAATGTTAAATATCTCATTTGTTTTTGGTGATAGAAAAAAATGTGAGAGGAAAATATTATTTAGTTAGAAGGGGTAAATACTGTGATAAGCAAAAAAAAGTATTTTCTCTTTCCAATCAAATGATATTTTCTTCTCACATTTTTTTCTAGTTTAAAAAACAAGTGAGATATTAAAGGTGCTCACGTTAGGTGGGACACACTGTATGTAGGCAGCGTTTCGATTTCTATTGTCTGGGACAAAAAGCAACTAATTGTCGAAGCGCTAATTGGACCAATCTCTCTATGTGGTAGTAATCGGTGAGAAAGTCTGTTTGATT